ACTGAGATGGGATCCTCAGACCCCTTGTGAGACCATATGCTAGTGCGGTTGGCCCTGGGTTCCTCCTAATGCAAGACAATGCGAGACCTCATGTGGCTGGAGTGTGTCAGCAGTTCCTGCAAGATGAAGGCATTGATGCTATGGACTAGCCCGCCCGTTCCCCACAGACTGTCCAGGAGTTGGGGGATGCTTTAGTCCAGGTGTGGGAGGAGATCCCTCAGGATGCATCCGCCACCTCATCAGGAGCATGTCCAGGCGTTGTAGGGAGGTCATACAAGCACGTGGAGGCCACACACACTACTGAGCCTCCTTTTGACTTGTTTTAGGGACATTACATCAAAGTTGGATCAGCCTGTAGTGGTTTTTTCCAATTTAATTTTGAGCGTAACTCCAAATCCAGACCTCCATGGGTTGCTAAATTTGATTTCCATTGATGATTTTTGTGTGATTTTGTTGTCAGCACATTCAACTATGTAATGAACAAAGTATTTAATAAGAATATTTCATTCATTCAGATCTAGGATGTCTTATTTTTGTGTTCCCTTTATTTTTGGGGGCAGTGTATATATACTCAGAGGTTTCTGGCTACCACCCGTCAAGCATGTGCATGAAGGTGAGAGGGAAGAGCTCTGTGGGACAGGGATCCCTGCACACATAGTTATTAATGAAAAAGGAAAGTGAATCAGCACCGTCCAATGATCACATTTTTTCAAAGCAATAAAGAAGCAGGAAGTTGAGAAATATGAATGAAGCATTTAGACCATTTCATAAGCTGTTTATAAAAACAACAGAAGCTCAGCTAAAAACCAAGTGAATTGGTTTCAAAATTGAATTTCCAATTCATTACCTCTCCAAGGCTCTGTCTTTCTTGTCTTTCTTCGTAGGCAGAAGTGTAGAAAGGTTCGTAAGTAATTAGATCTGGACGCTCAATGTCATAGATTGCCTTGACTTTGGGAATGGCTGCTAAATCCTTATAATCAAGGATCTCATTGTCTACTTTTGCCTTTAAAAAAAAAACAGGTAAATACAAATATGTAGATTCATTTGAATAACATCCAGTTCTAAATTCTGCTTGTAAGAAAAACAAACAACCACCAAAAAATCCCATCTCTTTTTCTTCTCCACTCCCCAAATTCATTTTCAATCAAATGGCCCTTTTTATTACATTAAGACTGGATTTGATCATCATCAATTCATCAAAGAAGTGTAGAAAAAAATCAGCAACCAGAGGGTAGAAAAGTCGCAATTTCTCAACATGATGACTTCCTTCAAAGTATACTTTGTAGCTTGAAATCGGTGAGCCACATCAAATTCCATATTATTGACGACACCCAGATTATTGACAACATCCAAATAAAAAATAAAAAATTTACAAAGGTTTTTTTTAATAAGACACATCATTTTGGCACATTAAAAAAAAAATTAATTGATAAAAAGGAAGTAACATGAGGAAATAATTCTGATTTCTCAGGTCATGAACTGTTTGCTTTTCTTCATGAATGATAATACATCTAAATAAGTACATCTCTAAAAACGTAACACTAAATCAAAAACTAATTAATAAAACATTTTATGAAAGTATACGTACATAGATTGTGTGTCCTGGTGAACCAGGAATACTGGATCCAGGCCTTGAATAAATACTCTCTGAGGATGTCCGGGTAGGCTGTAAGGGGGGAAAAAAACACTGTAAAAACATGGCTGGGTTAGTTATCCTGTTTGAAACATCCACAGCTAAGCTCATTTTCAAATGACCATTTTTTTCTTAAAATAAAATTCAGCTAAAACTTTTTTGTCTTATGAAGCAGATTAGATTTATCTTTATAGAGAGGTTACACAGCATTATGGACTGGAAGAATTTTTCATGCTAAGTCCTACACAAGGAGAACTAAAAAACACCAAAGTTTTAGAAGACAATTATTGCCTACTCCTGCAAATCTGCAGAACAACCAGTACAGCCCAATACTTTAGGCTGAGAATGTCTTTTGAAAAACCATGTTGAATTAGCAGATCCGGCTGGCATTGCTGTTTTGGATTATTTGTTCTTATCCTGGTCATTCCATGGAATTCCCTAACTGCTCAGAGGCAGGAAGACAGGAACAACTAGATGGTGTATTTCATCTCCTTATTTTGTGGCATCGTTTAAAGTTCTACTTAGTTAAAATTAGATATCCAGGTTGTGCCCTGGCCACCTTATCCTAGTTTTATCTGTTTCATTGAGATATATCAATGATCAATGAAAGAAACAGACCAGGCAGAATTTTCAAATTGTACCTGAGTTGAAATTGTTCTTGGCTTTTAAAAGTATTAGGAACTCCCTGTGTTAGGAGTATGGTGGCTCAATAAATTCGGGGTACAAAATTCATAGGTCTGTCTAGGAGCAGCTTCACTTCACAAGAAGAAGCATAAAATGAGTAATTATCCCATATTTCCCATTATAGGTCTGTTCCTGTTACCAAACATAAATTTTCTATTATGTAAACTCTCATATTTTCCAGAGCGTGTGGTCAAAAAATATGGGAATTTAAATTCAATGCATCTGGATGGTATCAGGTTGGAGAAGGCTGCTCATAAGATTCCTCAACCTCACCCCACCCCAATACTTTCATTCAGAACTGGAATTTATATCCACAGATTTTATAGATAAAATCAGGTCATAAACTGAAAATTATAGATTCATTTAAAACTGCACATGTATGGAGAGACAGGAAAACATTACAAGACAGGGTAACATTTGCCAGAATTGTCCCAATACACATTTAAGCAAGATAAAAATGGGGCAAAAATTGAATTATGTTTCAGGAACATACAAATCCAACATACAAAACACAGGTGGGAAAATCCATTAAAAAAATAAAAAAATAAAACTAAAAGCTTGTATTTTATTGCAGCAAAATAAAATAATATCCTGGCAATATGCCTGAGCAAATATATTCAACTGAAAAACAATTGTTAAAGAAAAGAGATGGGCATGCATAATAATATATGATTAAAAAGAATTGCAAATTATTCAGATTATCTGAACAGAAGACGGATTTATCTTCCACAGAATGAAGTACTTGCTAATCAACTTCATACTAGGAGCTCTGCTGAACTAGATTCAAGATTTAAAAGTTTCTTACCTGATGAAGGAATATAACAATTTAACTGGGTATCTGAACCAATTTAAGTTCTTTTAGTAGCAGGACCCCTTCATATTTAAACAACACATTATCTTTTGCTGATTATACGGATTTTCAGGTTTCATTAACCCCTCTCTGCTGTTGCCTAGTATTACTATTTGTGGGAAAGGGATAACCTTCTTTCATTCCAAGTAACTCCAACCATGGGGCCAATGTGGCGATACCACCAAGGTCAAATGAAGCCAATGCTCTCTTTTCCACTGAAACAGACAGATGGATGAGAATGTCCACACTGCAAATCCAGCTTGACCACCAAATCTCTCATCTAAATTCAGAGCGAAACACCAGTGTTGTTTATTTGCCTCATAGTGCAGTAGGATCCAACAGAGCTGGATAGGGAAGACTGCAAAGCATCAACCAACCCCCTTGCTAATATATACACATTCCCTCCCTCAGCAAATGTTCTTTCAAGGTCCAAGGAATAATCAGAATAAGTGCTTGCCTTTTTTTTTTCTGCTTGAACCAAACACCATTTATAATTAAACTTTTGCTGAACTTTTCTTTGTCTCTCACTGGCTAGAAACCAAAGATCAAGATTTGGGAAAGCAAACATTATTCATTCCAGACATTACTGTGGAAATATTTGCAAAGAGATAGGCAGTAAGTACATTCTCCTTATTTTGTAAAAGATAATAGATCTCTCAATTTTTTGGAGGGAAAGCCAATCCCCAATTTCAGCAAATTGCTGTTTAGTTCCTTTTTCTTTTTAAAAAAATGGGGTAAAAAAAGCAAAATAACAAGTTATTCTTGCATAATAGTCTATAACAAAGAACAAGATGATCTTCAGAGGCATAAGCCAGTAGAGACAAAATGAACATGCCATAAAATATATTAACAACATATGTTTGTTTTTGTAAAGCAAGAATTTTTTTAAAAAATATTGCTATTGTATCATATTTTAGATATTTTGCAAACAAATATTTGTTGCTTGTTGTAATAATACTATAGGGTTATGGTTTTCATTTGCTTTGCAACTAACTTTTTTCCTCCCCATTATCCCAATAAATTTTATCTGCTGATCGATTTTCTAATGTTTGACCTGTAATTAAACAACTAATTGGCTCTTCTGTCAGTCATATTTTTGGCTTGACTTATTTGGGTATCATTTTTGTATCCAGAAGAAAACTTTCAGATTAACGATAAATTTCTATTTGCAAAGTTTTAAAAATCATTTCTGCACTGTGTAAAATTTGTGGTTGCTTGTTTTAATGACCTCTTCCTAAAATGTTAATTCTTATATTCATTCAGATACTCAGCTTCAGCTAGAAAGCCATTTCTTTTAGTCAAACTTATACAATGTTCTTTCAAAACTCCTCTGAATGAAAAACCTAAACAAATTTAAAACCTTAATGTCCCCCAGGGGAAATCAGGAGATTCAGGCAGATCACATGAGCACAAAGATTTTTTACAAGGTTAAGCTCTCTACAACAATCTAAACTACTAAAAATGAAAGAAAATAAGTGAGAAGGAATTCAAGGTGGGTTGGACTTAGATCTCTTGTGGGTGTGCAGGGACTCATGACTGATGACCCCACCCTCGGGCTCAGTCTGGTCATCTCCTACAATGTAAATTAATATCCTACGGGGAAAATTCTGATCATGGGGTCAAGGGGACACCAAGACAGTCATGTTTTTCAGCACCACTCTAACTTCAAATGGTAGTTAAACAAATGGTGTAAGTTGAGAGTTATCTATATTTGCTAATACTTTATATCCTTATTCCATTTGTTGGTTTCTCTTCTCACAATATTTCATTTTTATACAAAAGAATCCCCAAATTTCTTTTGCATATTAGGATAAATTCATTTCTATACCTATATTCCATATCTATGGCAGGGATCTCAACTTCTGAGCCATGGCCCAGTGGGCCATGGCCTGCTGAAAATTGGGCCATGTGACGGGCTGGCCAGCGTGCACGTAAAGTTCAACCTGAGCACCCAAAGGGCCAATGGGCAAATGCACATGTCTGCCTGTTGCTCATGCAAGTTGAGCTGTGTGAAGGTACACCGGCCCACCACTTGGAAAGGGCTGTGCATGTGTGTCTATGTCCCAGTTCTGCTCTCCCTCCACAGCCAGGGTGCCAAGTCTCAAAGGTTGGGGACTGCTGATCTATGGGAAGGTTCAAGGCAATATACAAGGCTTTCTTTTCGCCTCCAGGCCAACCCTCCCCCCACCATTTTTTGTGCCACTGAATCAGTAGTAACTTCTAGCTACTGCTTGGACAAGTACATGCAATTTTCTTGGTAATACTTTAGCAGCAGTTTACCACTGCCTATCTTCCTAGGGCTGAAATAGAGTGACTGGCTCAGTCACGTAATTGGATTAATATTTAGAGAATGTCTAAAATTCACAGTCTCCTGGCTTCTCACCTGGTGCCTTTAACTATTACACTACATTGTCCTCCTCTTTTCATCTTTATAATAACATACAGGGAAACTGATTAATCCAAATATTTTAATTCCATAGTGAAATGAGAATGTGCATCTGGGTTTCTCAAGTTTTAATCCAACATCTAAATTAGTATACCACACTGACACAACATTTTTGTTCATTGTTGCATTTAAAAGATGGCATATGCAGCATTACCCCAAGAAACCCACCTCCTTTGTTAATAAAAAGCAAAACTGGTTCATATCTCAATAATCAGAACTTCTGTTTTACTCTGACACTGATTTTGCCATGCACGGATTGTAATTTACACAGATAATCTTTCAAAAATTAAAACAAAGTAACACTGGAGCCATCCACATCCTTCCATGAGAGTGATGTGATGCTGTCCATCTCTGAACTGCAGATGTTCAAGTCATGCTCTGGAGAATTATATAGGGCAAGTTCCCTGTATCAATAATAATTCCTTGAACATCAAACCAACTGGATGCACTACTAATAGATATAAGGACATTGATCCAGCACAGTTTACAGTACCTGCCTTAACGTTTTGATGGTGTTCAGTATACAAGATGGTGAAAACAGCTGGAGAAGAAGGAATAGCTTGGTTTGTGTTTGCAATCATACTGCATTCATATAGAATTACCATGTAACAGGCCCAAATAACAGCTTCTTAAATACAGAAGAGTGTGACTCATACATGCATAAGTATATGCTTAGAATACAGTTACTTCTTACATATTTTTTTTTCTTTTACAGCAGGAACCTCCATCACTTCAAGGGCTATATCAGCTTTATATGACACAAAGATTACAATGGGAGATACCAAAAATCTTTCTGAGGCAGTTTGAAAGGATTTTAATTACGAGAAGGGTGTAAGACATATGCCCTCTTAATCATCTCCAATTATATTATTTTTAACTAAAAAAAAACATTAGGGCCTACCCACTCTGAAATAACTTCTGGGGACCACAAAAAGAAAATTACCAAGGTCTCTGTTGTTTTAGAGAGGTACTATATTTGTCCATAATGCTAGGCTATAACTGATCTTTATGAAGATGTACAGGTAGTCCTTGACTTACAACCACAATTTCTATTGCTAAGTAAGATATTTACTGAGTGAGTTTTGCCCCATTTTAACACCTTCCTTGCCACAATTGTTAAGTGAATGTCCAATGACTTTGCTTGTCAGGAGACATGACCTCGGGACCCTGCAACTGTCATAAATATGAGTCAGTTGCCAATTGTCTGAGTTTTGATCATGTAATTGCAGGGATGCTGAAATGATCATAAATGTGGAAAACAACAATAAATCACTTTTTAAAGTGCCTCTGTAATTCACTAATGAACTTATGAAATAGAGGACTATACAACAGTGAGACAATAGTCTGCATATTCTTACTTCCTCTACAAATTAACCTTTGTGAAAACTAGAAAATGTTGACCTTCTTTAAATTTAACTTGCTTTAGGATAGAGTTAAAAAACATTTCCATACTCAAAATTGTAATTTTTTAAAATATCTGTGGAGATTCAACAGACCTAAAGACAGAACCCACAAAGTGAAATATCTTCCTAAAAAAAAAAAAAAAGCCCAGTTGCTTTTTGGAAAAGCAGCTTTGAGGTAATTTTTAAAAAATCCTAACGTAGGATTTGGTGCTAGGTTATTTTGATGATAGAATGGTATGACTGCCCAGGTCCTAATAAGAATCACATTATGACGAGATTGGTGGAAAAGAAATAGATAAATAAAAGATAGATAGATGACATATACATATACATATACATATACATATACATATACATATACATATACATATACATATACATATACATATACATATACATATACATATATATATACATATATATATATATATATATATATATATATATATATATACATCCATACATACAAACATACA